AGCAAATGGCTGTCTAATGCCAGACTGTTACAATATCAAGGACTCTTATTAGAACAGCCACACATTAAGTTTGCCACCACCGCTGGCCTCAATCCAGCTACTGTACTCCCAGAATCTGACGAACAAATGCCCATCCATGATCGCCTTGAGACTCTTGAAAACTTGAGGGGAGGACGTCCAGACTTGACGGACCAGGCCCTCCCCTGCGCAGAGATAACATTCTATACTGATGGGTGCAGTTTTGTTTGTGATGGTGTACGGCATGCTGGAGTGGCGGTGATCAACCAGGACCACCAGGTGGAATGGGAGCAGGGGCTACCTCAAGGGACATCAGCACAGAGGGCTGAGCTGATTGCTTTAACTAAGGCTCTGGAATTGGGAAAAGGAAAAAGGATAAATATATTCACTGATAACCGTTATGCTTTTGCCACTGCCCATGTACATGGGGAGATTTATCAGAACAGAGGGCTGCTAACCTCTGAAGGGAAGGAAGTTAAAAATAAGACTGAGATATTGGCACTGCTACAAGCCATCTGGTTGCCCTGAGAGGTTGCCATCATCCATTGCCATGGGCACCAAAAGGGGTCAAGCCCCGAGGCGATTGGTAACAATGCTGCTGATCAGACAGCAAGACAAGCCACCCAAAAATCAGTGGGGAAGCAAATGGTTCTGCTTCCCACACCGTTACTCCCAGAAAAACCTAAATATACAGACAAGGAGATAACGGAAATGAACAGGAGACGCTGGACTTGAGGAAGACATGGGTGGTGGACGACTAAGGAGGGAAAGGTGGTGCTCCCAGCCGCTGTAGCAGACACGTTGCTGTGAGAACTACATGAGTCTACCCACCTCGGTGAGGAAAGGATGATGGCTGCCTTACAACCCCATTTCGTCAGCCAGGGATAAGCCCAAAAGGCCCAGGACATGGTGAGATGATGCCCCACCTACCTCAAGGTAAATGCTAATTGGGTAACCGGGCCCCCTGGGGTCCAATGTGGAGAGTGAAGGGGTGAAACAACCCTGAAAGACACCTAAGCCCCTTGAGATTCTTGAGTCAGATAAGAACATAATGAGCCAGGATATGAAACTGGTACAAAAACAAGGATGTTGACTTTTAAAGAAAACAACGAATATAGAAAGGATTTGAATGTCTGCTGGACAAGAAAGTAACATTCCCGGAATTGTAAAGATATATTT